GCTGGCAGCGACGGGATCGAACGTCTGACATATACGCCATTGGCCGGTGCGGGGTAACGCTAGTCGCCCTGGCATCGACATGTACGCCCGCAAATTCATAGTCTTGGTCGTCGAGGAAGGGGTCCTGCTGCACCCGCTCGGATTCAGCGCGCCGGATGCGTCGTTTCAATCTTCTGGGCTTCGTCCGTTGGGCGGCGGGTTTCGTGCACGGTCTTACTTGTCGACTGTCTTGGCTAGGATGGGATGCAGGAACGCGTCTGCGAGGCACGAGCCAACACATTCTGGAGGCCAAAGGACAGGGTCGGACGATCTCGCCAAATCGCTCGAGCAGAAAATCTTCGTATTCTGTTTCGAGCTTCGAACATTTCGGAGAAGAGGCAAACTCTAACAATGTAGTGGGCGCTTCGCCGGATCAGCACTCGGCGTCTTTTGCTTCTAGTAGCACGACCCTGCCTGGGATCTTCTGTCAATCCGCAGACGCCCATGCCGGAAATGATTGCACGCGCATGTTCAGGCGCTGCGCAGGCCCCCGCTGCCCACGGCAAGTCTCCGAAGCTCAACTCTGGCGATACAGGACGGAGAGGGAAACGGAATAGTTGTTCAGTGCTGCGGCCTTGGAGAACGGTGGGAAAGGTTGGACGGTGGAACGGATCATGGTGGCTGAGAACTATTCTTGCGAGCGGGCCGAAATCCTTCAGCATCTGTCGAAAAAGCACGTTCCTCGACGCCTTCGATGCTCTTGCGGATGAGGGATTCTCTTCGTCATCGTCCGAGGACGAGGAACGGATTACGTGTGTCGTGCGACAGATGGCCACGTTCGAAAAGCAGCAGAGGAAGCAGGATCTGGAAGCGAGGAGGGTGGCTCGGTGGAAGGGTCGCGCAAACTTCGAGGCATCGCGCGGAGGCAGCAGCTCGATGCGCGCCCAATCGGGGAGGCCCCGTTCGGTCCCGGGGTTCCGACGGCACACACGGTTCGTTGTCGCCGTCCGGTGCACCGCCTTCGGCACCGGTCAAGCCCGCGACGTTCGTGACGCCCGCGCAGATCGCCGCGACGGCACTCCCTCTCATGCCGAATAACCTACCCAGTTCAGGCGCGACGAGCCGACCCCGCCGGAGCTCGCTGACCGACAGGAACATCGACATCATGCGCGAGCACTGCGACAAGGTCATATCGACTCCTATTAACCAAGAAGAAGCTGTTGAAGGAGCGGAACCCGTGCGCACAAATAGGCAACACTGGGAGGAGCACGTCAGCGACGAGATCGAGGAGAGACTTCGAGCGTACATCCGGACGCGGTGGAAAAGCAACCCAACTCGTCAAGCAAACCTGACGGAAGTTGTGCCGTTGCAGGAAGGCTCAGAAGATATTCTACTGGAAGACCTGCCAGCGGAACAGGAGATTGAACTGAGGACGGCTAGCGCGTTCGCGTTGTCGCGGTCCCTCACCTCAGTTCAGCAGAACGGGACCGTTAAAGTATCCGAAGGCGGGCCACGTCAAGTCCAAGAAGCTGTCGCGGGCTCAGTGCCTCTTCTGCGGTAGTGGGATCAAGAGTGCCCCCATTTCGTAGTGTACTCGAGGGAGAGGGAAGCACATTTGGTGTACACTATCGAGGGGACTGGGGAAGAAAGAGTAGAGTACGCACGACAACCTTCTGTATACTCGGTCCAATTCCAGAATATCCCTTCATTGTAATTCGACTCGAGGGATATAGCGACGGCATTCGTCGCTAGGCATAAATGGACGCACGGAGGCAACGCTGGATGTATTCAGTATGATGGGAGGGCTTTCCCCCTTCTTTGATAGCTAGGTATCGGAGACAGGAACGAGGAACGCGCCGCAGATATTGGAGGAGTACTGACACGCCACAAGTGTTGTAAATACGCACGTGCCCGCGTCAGACGGGGCAACTTAAGCGAGAGGCGCGTGGTGTAGGTCTTGTCTCTCGCCCACCACCTTCCCCCTCCAACCACCGCTCCTTACCATTTGGAAGTAACCGCGGCGTTCGCGTACGGCTACGTTTTATACCGATGAAATCAATATGTTAATGAACGACTATATTATTACAGCTTATAATGTCGTCCTCGTCCAGCAACCAACCCGCGCGCAACGACCAGTCGCGGCTCCCAGAGGCTTTCTCTTTGGAGGAGCTCGGCGACTGGCTTCCGTCGATAGGAGTGGTAGACGAGGGAGAGCCGATTTCCAGCCTGGTCATGGCGATGGCGGACTCGACGCGCGACGTGGCGCAGACTATGGGGCGGCGTACCCAGAATGACTTGACCGCCGTCAGCTGGCGCAACGTCCAGCGTCCGCCCGTGCCGGTGTCGAGGGGTGCTGTTTACACGCCCGGCATGACGCAGGACTGGCTACCGCAAGGAGGTCGGGTGGTGATCCCTTGGCAGGACCTCGATCCTCGTCCACACCACAATCCGAGGATTATCTTCCGTAATGCGGAAGTCGCTCAGCCTCCTGCGGGCGCATACGTTCGACGCTTCTTCGGGGAGCAGTACGCACCCCAGTTCCCGCGACCTGTTACTTACTGGCCGAGCGCGCCGTGGCGTGCACTCACCTACGGCGCGGTGGGCGACCTCGAGCGTAGCGTGGTTTTCGACCACGACGGCGACCGGCACCGAATCGTCGGCACGCCCGACCGGGCATGCCTACTTCCAGGTGCACTGGCCGCCATTCACTTATGCGCGCGAGAAGTCGCTGCCCTGGTCATTGGGGCAAGTATCCTGTTGCAGCCACTGGGGTTCAGGGCGCCGGATACGTTGGCCGTAGCGTCAGGCGGAGAGTTGTTGCGGGAACGTTCGGCCGTGTCGCTTATGAGCGACATAGACGAGTGGCGCACGGAGATCGTAAACCTCCTCAGCTTCGTCCGATTGGCGGCGGAATTCGTGCCCGGGCAAGCTCATCGACTAGCACCGCCCGGCTGGATGAACCCGGTCAGGCCGGAAGCGTCCTTCGCGCAGACGTTGGTCTACTGGGGAGCGACGGAAATGCCGACAGTCAGCTTCGCTTTCGACGTCTCGGCTCCTCTGCACTCGTTGCCGCCGCTCAGCTGGCTTGCAAGTAGGGGAGTTAACTACAGGTGGTATTGGCCGTATTCGATAACCGTACCACCTGCCATCATCCCCGCCCACATAGCCGCTTTCAACCCCGACGCGTCGCCCTACCACGATCGACGTCCAGCGCCGTCGTATCTTGACGTATTGCGAGAGCAGCACAGGCAGAATGATAATACGAGGCGCTCCATTATCCACTTCGACCAATTGCAACAGGAGGAGAATGAGCGCTCAGCCCGGGAGCGCGAGCCGTACCGCGATCTGGGGCAGCTCATTCTCTTACGAGGAGAAGCCAGGCGACTTTTCAACGCTGCGTATGTTCCAGGCTTGCAACCAGGACGAGGGGTGATCCAGCCCTGGGCGAGAGTCGACGGGCCACCAGCGCGCGGTCAGGCGATCACCAGCAACTGGATCGAACGCTTCCGACATGTACGCGACTGGCCCGAGCCGGGCTTCACGACCTTCCTCGGCTGGGCACATCCGGATGGCACTAGAGTGTCGCGACAGGAGGCTGAAGAGCATGTCGAAAAGCAGTCGAGGAGCAAGAAAAGAGCGAAGGCGCAGCAAGCCGGAGATGAGGACGAGACCGACGACGAAGTTGCCATGGACTTAGGAGGCGGTCCGGTTAGGCAAGCATTCGTTATACCCGCGGAAGAGGCACCTCCGGCCTGGGACTATCTGGCAGAGTCTCCCGACTTCGTCGGCCCGCGCTTCAACTTCGAGGCGGACCTTCGCCCATTACGCGGCGACTTCCCGTCGCACTTCGCGGAGTGGCGCAGGCGACCTGGCTCCATTATTCGGCTGCCGCCGCCGCCGACCTCTCGCGCGGCAGGAGTAGTTCGCGCAGGTAGTCGCGAAAGATCTGCGCGCCCGGCACGGGATAAGGGCAAAGGTCGTGCACCCGCGCCACCGCCACCGCAAGAGGAAAGAGAGTGCTCTCCTTTGCGGGAACCTTCGCCGATGGGTCCTCAGGACGACTTCAACAACGAGGAGGCCCAGGCGCGGATGGACGTCGACGACGAGTTGGAGAGGATGCAGGAGAACGAGGCAGTTGTGGACCATTCGATGACCACGGCCAGGGATGAAGCGCAAACGAGGTGGGAAGTGAGCGTTCGCGAAGACCCATCGGTGGCGGGTCCCTCTCGTCTCGGCCGCTCCCCGTCACCAGTACACAACGACGGCTCGGATGTGGACATGACACCAGCGCCATCGTTGCCGAGCACAGCCCGTCCGGTGACCCCAGTGCAGGATGCCAGCCCAGGGCCTGTGCACTCGCGTACGCCACGGCCACCCCCGCGGGCTCCTCGCACCATGCGGGAGGCATCGAGCAGCAGTGACATGTCGTTGAGATTGGGGGCACGGCAAATGTTTTCGGGGGGACGCCCGCAACCGTACGATCGCCGAGGACGTTCGGACCGTAAGCGCTCTCTAGAACGGCGGAACTCGCCCTCTAGACGCTCGCACTCGCCCAGGAATCGTCGATGCACTCCCTTGCCCCCGCCGCAAGTCCGCAGCGCCCATTGCTGGCGTCACACAGAGAACATCTCGTCCTCCTCATCTCAGCGTCCAAGTGTTTTGAGGAGCAGCGGACGTTCGCATGCCCGCGCTAGCAGCACCCCGACCCCGGCCCATGTCGCTGCCGCAACAAGCGCTCCGGCCCTGGCCGCGCGCATCCCGTCAGCGCAGGCCGCGACACCTTGCTCGTCGGTGTCGAATACTTCGCGGTGGCGGGGACAAGAGGCGCGCATAGCGGTGGTGCCAGCGGGACCACGCAGGGTGCATACGGCACTCTTGTCTTACGTTCCCCAGCTCCCAGTAGGGCGCGCGTTGGCCAGTTCTTCGCCGCAAGCCATTTTGCAGCTTGCCTGGCAGCCGTACGCAGGGCAAGCCGAGAACGTTCAGTTCGTCGACGGCATTGCCACGTTGATAGGCGGGGGCACGGCGGGTAATGCTTTAGCCGACGATGTGGTCCTTCCTATCTCGGTGCAAGGTAACGGGTCAGCCATACGGCTGGGAGTGCCGGCCTTGCTCATGCGGCGGTACTGTCAACTCGTGCACCCGACCATGACCGTACGCGAGTTCGTACTCTGGCTACTGCAGCACGGGACACCGTTCGGGTGGGCCCACATCGCGCCCCCCGCTCAGCCGGAAGTGGCTCTTCCGCTCATGTTCCAGCCACTCGTGCCTACTTTCACGGAATGGCGGGGTCGCGTCGAAGCGATGCTGCAGGAGAAGCCCTACACTCGCGCCTTTGCATTGGCGGGAGGGATCGGCTGGCGCTCGGCCCTCTGGGTAGGCGGATCGGACTACGCTGCGAGAGTCGCCGAAGGCCCATCCATCCGAGCACGTCGGCATGGCGAAGAGCTTGACTGGTGGCAGTATTATGTCTGGGACGAGGCCTCAGGAGAGGCGTTCGACATGCTCGTTGGCCGTAGCGGCTCTTTCAGCCTATGGCCGCCGCAAGACATCTGGGACAATGTCGTGGGCAACGCAGTGTGGTCGCCAGCCCACGAGGGATGGTTCCAGGCGCGGCTAGCGTCGTTGCAAGGGCCGACGGGCAGCTCAAATGACCGCGCCGTTGCGGACTACCAATGGTGGCACGAGATTCGTCGCGGACGACGCCCTCGCGAGCGCCGCTCTATTCGCGATCACACCCCGGCGACCTGGGCCGCGTGGGCGGAGCGTGGCGGGCTGCAACTCACGAACGCTCCCGTCATCATTCCTGTCAGTGACATGCCGCTGTAAGGCCAGAGCCTTCAACAAGACGGGAAAAGTTTCGGCAAAGGCCGGCCGGCCTGAAACGGGAGGGAGCTGTCAGAGGACGCTGAAGGAGGTTGGATAGACTAGGAGGGCACCGCGACGCTAATGCTAGATTGACAACAGAACTCGTAGAAGTTGAGACAGTATACGAAGAAACGACGGCGTGTACCCGCGTCGACAATGTTATTTGTGATGAGAACTACCTATCAGTCGCAGACGCGTCTAGCATCAATGAGTGTTCATTCTGGAGCTGCTGATGAAGTTAGCAAACTCGTGTATGGAGGTTGCAGTCGGCGGTAATCTGCGAACGAACGAGAAGGTGGGAGCATGTCTTGCTTATCGCATACACGATGCAGTACTATCGAAGGCAGAGGCAGCGTACATGAAGATAGCGTGATACAATGACCGCTAATATCTTGACAACACAGGCTCCTTCACTCGCTCTCGCTCAGCTTGACCTCGTCACGTCGCCGACGCTTTGAAGGAGGTTCCTCGCTGTGGTCGCGCGTCTGATGTTCGCGCAGTGCAGACGCATCGTTGAAGCGCGAGTTGCAGTGACAACATGAAAGAGAATGCTGATGTTGGCCCGTGCTAACGTATATTCTCAAGAGCCATAAATGATGGACCTGGAGGAACATGCTCACTGCGATCTGATGCGGTGTGCTTCGCCATTGCTCCGGTGGGTAAACGTACTGTGATCGAAATCAGGGTATAGTGAGATGAGTCGTCGGAAAAGGACTTACTGCCCGCACCAGCTGCACTGAAAGCGCCTAGTCTGTTATCAGCTTCTGAAGTAGTGTTCCTTGGGCCTGCGTACCTGATGTTCAAGTGTGTTGACTCGACATGGCGTTTGACGAGGTGCTTAGTAGACTTGTAAGTGCATCGAATATGTTTGCCATCCACGATCTTCTCGCATGTGCAACGCCATTTGGTTTCATCTCCGGGTATAGTTTCCACGTACGCGAGGTACCCTTCCTTATCGACATTGACGTCCCTTCTCACAATCTCAAGCTTGATGCCCTTGCGATTGAAGAACACCTTCAGAGGTTTCTTCCCAGAACCTTGGGCGATCTCTTGGACCTGGTGCACAACACAGTCGTCATTGTGTGCGGTAGTATCACCATGGCCATAAGTGTCTTCGCCGATGTTCGTGGTCGATAGAGACATAAGTGGCTGTTTATCACCGTCCTCCGCGCGCATACGCTTTCCGAGGCTGGTCTTGATTGGTCGCAAGGGTGTTTCAGAGAGCGAATGTGGCCCCCGACTGTGAATGTTCAAGACTGCAGTATAACGACCCAAGCGTTGATAGACGTACGTCACCGGTTTCGTACAGCCCGATCCTTGTGGTTTGCATCGCTGGCAACCAGCTATACCCTTTGTGAGCGAAGCGTGTGACAGCGCATGGCCGAATGGGTCTGTTGGAATCCGCTCTGACGCCAAACGAGCTTCGCTAAGTACAAATGAGTAGATGGAATCGTGGAGTCAAGTCATCAGCAGCTGCTCACCAGTCAACCGAGCGTGACCGACCTACATTGCCAAGAGAAAGAACCTGAGAAGATGACGGTGACGGAGCATTCATTCTGTGAGGATACTAAGAAGGATTGTCGACTGAGACGGCATGCGTATAGTAGGATACCTGGATACCAGATAAGTTCCACTGTAGACCTCAGTGCATGAACCAAGCAAAGTTCACGTGCCTTCTAGTGTCCCCGCACTGTGAGATCTGGAGCATAACAGCTGCAACCGCATCCTCTTCGCTACCAGATGCACCTGGTCCATCCGGGTCTGATTTCATTTGAATCGTGCTGTCCTCAAGAACGTTGCGCGGAGGAGATAACTTCAGGGGCAGTGATCTCTGACGGTGTAGTATGCTATGGCGTCTAGGTATGATTGCCGTGTCAGCGTAGTGGGCCTTAGTGCGCAATGAATTCAGGAAGTGTCGCTCACTTGAACAGAGGACTACTTTCGCGCGATGAGTTGCAACTTGCCGGGACCGAAGACGGCGTAGAGCCTCGGGATTGGGGGGACGATTCGACAGAGTAGGATAACATGTTGCGGATTAGGCGGCTGGTAGGGTCACTTAACGAAGATCGTATGCGGTGTCGGCGTTTTAAAGAGAACGATAACTCGGCGAACCCAATAGGGACCTACGTACGAACCAGGCCGAGATTGGACATAGTATTCCACGAGTCCCGATAGATGCCTCGTCGTCACTGAGATCTCGCGAGAAGATCTGTCTACCCGCACAACTTCAACGACGTGTTAGGAAGGAACTTCCTTGCGAAGATCGGTAGTTGTATTGTCGAGGCGCAATGATGGGTCCACTAACTTGGCGCTTCGACGCCTATACCCTACGACCCGTAGCGCCAGATACTCCGGGAGCGGGAATGCCGGGGATGGCTGAGTTCAAGCGCTACGATAGCGATTGTCACAGAAGCAACGGCAGCTGATGTTTGCCTCCGGAGAATGCCGATTGTTCCCGCGCGTGCCTGTGAAACGTCAATCACTACACATCCGCGACCGAACCTGCTGGCGACAGAGGTGCGAGCTTTCCGGAAACCATCGTCTGAAAAAAACGATGTTTCAATGAGCCGAGTCTGTGCCGTGAGGCTTGAGGTGCTCGGCAGCGAGATTATGTTGGTTAGCATTTGTCACACGGGGTCGATTTCTCTACATTCCTGAAGGGATCCGAAAGGAAGTGTCTAGGCTTGGAATATACCCCTATCGCAAGACCCCACGCGTTAAAGATTGGCTCTTCTTAGGCGCCGGAGCCTCGGAGATTTGTTCTCTCAGCAGACTCGGACACAGGGGCTGCGCGAGAGCAAGTCCTGGCTGCTTAGATGAGAAGGGTACACTCGGTACGCACCCTACATGAAGAGTACCTTGAAGCGTAAACCTTCGAGAGTTGTTCTCCCGGATACGCACCGCGAGGCTCGCTCGCCTTTGTCAAGCCGACACGTTGCATCTCATCTCCGGTTCTAAGTTAGAACGGCCTTCCACCCCTGTGATGACATTGGATGGACCTACTTGGCCGGAATGCTTCACTTCATCTGCGTGTTTCCTTCTCCAATCGCGAACCGCCCAGGAGGCGGACATGAGGCTTGTACGATATGAATCAACCACAAATCGTCCTGGACGTAATGTGTTCATGCGTAGTCGCTGTCCCTTCACGTGCGATGCACGACGAAGAGGGCTCGCCGAAGAAAGGAGGATAACAAGAACGCCATGGATTTGGGTTCGCGGTAGTGGTTGGAGACTTGCTTCTTTATCACACTCGTCACATTTGCTCAAAGACTGTCACTGAGCTCAACTGAAAGCGTTTTGTCTCAAAAATGTAGACACAGATGGATATATTGTTCAACCTATGTTCAAATCGCATACTATCGCGAGCCGCGTTCAGCTACGCTAGTCAGAGTCGGTCAGTCCTTGCAGCTTGAGACTGCCAACGTATCAGCCATCTATTTTGACAACGCCGAGGGACCAGCTCACAACTACCCATGGTCGCGTAACTGGTAAGGGTCTTGATGCGTGGATGGCATTTGTCCACTCTGGTCTCAGCGAGTACCATGGCTCGTGCTCTCACTGGCACGCAGATGTCACAGAGCCGTCCCGTTTGCCATAGGTATTCACCTTGCTTTGAATCTGCGAGGACTTTAACGCGATCGGCAATCTTGACCCCCAAGCTCTCCCATTGAGCATCGTAGTCTCGAAACATCACCACCGCATTACCTGTGAAGGGTTCGAGGCGAATGATTCTGGGAGGCTCGCGTTCCTGAAGGTTTCAGAAAGTGAGTGGTTGCAGTTCTCTGAAACATTTGAGAACTTGCACCTCTAAGAAAAACCACACGGTGAATGGCTCGCGCGAGTGAGGTGACGGGGGAAACTCAATGCTCGGGCCGCGACATTTGGAAGAGACGGAGGTCTGCGAAGCGGCCTCATCATCCGGGTCCGAGTCTGAGATCTCTATGCATGGCACTTCGGGTGATACGGTTGAGAGAGGCCGAGGAGTGACGCTACGGGAAGCAAACAGACTGGAAAATGTACTTGTTGCAGAGAAGCGGGGCTTATATGGCTGAGCCGACACGCGCGCATCCGATGGTGGTCGTGCAGAGACGCGGGCAGGTGATACCGACGACGCGCTCTGAAGATGCGAAGTCAGTTTTCATCTGTCTTGGTACTAGTGTCTGATGAGACGTACACGATGAGATGTCGAAGGGTGAGGGAGTAGTTGCTCGGTTTGCAACTGGCGCGCAAACATTCGGTCTCGAAGTTCTTGCAGGATCTCCTCGTCAAGGCGAGGAGAGACGTACATGAATATCTTCCCGCTTCCTTGGGCGTCTCCCGGATGAGTAAGACGACACTGTGCAGACATGGGTTACCACCTAAGGCACGGGTGAAGGCTTCTAGTGAGAAGGTACCTCGATATACCAACGTCCATCGTCAGGCGTGTTGGTGAAGCACTGTATGTCTTTCTTGAGGATATGTTGAAGGCCACGACACCGCCGACGTCGGTATGCCACGAGGTCATCGTCAACGGGCCCTGCAAGGGCCTTTAAGTCCTTCTTGTGGTCCGCCTTGATGGATCGGATGACATTGTCGCGGAGAGCACTCTTGGAAGGGGACATGAATTCACGATGTTGCCTGGCCAGAAGGAGGGACGGGGTTTCGTGAGCAACCCAAGAAAGGACTCTTAGTACTTTTAGTACTGTCGCGCATCTCATGTCGAGCGGAACTATGATTTCCGGCAGTGGGATATACGCGATCTATCTGATGATCTAGCAAACCTCGATAGATACCAAGCCCAGATTCAAGAGCGCAGCAATGTGAGACACTGTTGCATAGAATGGAACGCCGCTCATGAAGAAGCTTATGGGAACCTCACCTGCGTGAAAGTTGAAATAGGGCCCGCGTTGCAATGGAGAACATCGAGTTCCAACGCGGGTTCCATCAGGCTCGCTTAGCAGCGTGTCATCGCAAACAGATGTCCATGAGGAACTTCGAGTGGGGCAACGTACGGGGCAGCTTAGGACGCGGAAGTAGAGGGTAGGGCAGATGGCGAAAGGAGGTTGAGTGTCCGAACGATGTGCGGCACGGTAACAACTGATGCTGAAGCTTTGAGAAGATGTATACTATATAAATGATGCCCTTGTATGCGGCCCGGTGGTTGAATGGTAGGGTACTGAAGAATTTTCCGCGACGCGTCGGGTTCGAGTCTCGCAGGTCCCTGTCTTCCTTTTTTATGGATATTTTACATCTGCCTAGCCAACAGCGTTCGAGGCAATATGCGACCGAGACATGAATTGAGTGACTGTATCGAGGGTATTGAGGGTCGATTTGAGATACATGAACGGTCCGAGCCCCCTCCCGCAGGTTCTGGGCGGGAGAAACACTGACGTGGTATCTAGACCTTCTGCCACGCCTAGTATGAAGACTGTTGCGTCCATCTTAGGCTGCTGCTTCCCACAGATGTAGCCAGTGTTTTCTGTATGTCATCAGTGGCCGTAAAGGAATGGCGTGTGCGGGATAGGATATAGAGGTACGTAGAGCTTGAGATATCATAATGAGACAAAAATTGTAGCTACAGACTGTGTGTATGTGACTCGTTGTCATCTGCGCGCGCTTGGGTTCGATACCATCCGTCACCAAGCTCCCAGTTCTGTATCTCCGCTTCTGCACTGGCGAGACGGTCCATCGATGCCCGATGGCGCTCCTCGCACTCCGAGATCTTGTGATGAATGTGGTTATGAAGTTTCCGGCCAACTTTCACAATACTGAAGGATTGAGACGAAGATAACGCCCGTAGCTCGGTGAAACGCCTAGTAGGGGAGTCGAGGTCTGGCAGGTCGAGCGTTCCGACAAAGTCGTGGTGCATTCTGCGTGCAGCGTGGCGTTCCGCTGCGATCCTTTCATGCTCCTTGAAACGAGCTTCATAAGCCCACCGACGAGCTTTGATGGATAAAGCAAGTTGCAGAGCGCATCGTGTAGCTTCCTCATGTCGACGTGCTTGCTGAGCCTCGATTGTGCGCGACTGGAGCAGGAGATCTAGATTTGTGTGTTCCCAGATGAACGATATCTAATGCGCTTGAATTAGATTCATGAGAGGCGGGAAGCTCCAGCGACATACATTTCCGTCTGTGTCTTGACCGAGGATCGAACACCTCAAGCCG